ACACTTAATTTCATTCATATCAATAACATATTAATGTTCAACGGTATGGGATATAAAAAAGTTAGTCAAAAATTACTATACTTATAATATTTATAATACTCGCACACGATTAATAAATACAATATTTAAAAGTCTATTTATCTGACTCTAAAACACAACAGAAATAATTTCATTTGAATTGATATTTAATCAGATAATGACTACTAAACAATTCGTAGTCCTGAAATGTGCTATACTATCGCATTATAAAATGTATTTGTTTCGCCAGAAAGTGTGACACAAAACTACGCTCGCAATGCAATTGAATGAGAAGCTCCAGGAAATCCCTTTTATGACTAATTCTTGTATTTTAGTCATTAAACCGGTTCCCGACGACTACACACTTAATGCAATGCTTTTCAATGAATTATTAGTTTTATTGTACGTATTATGTGAACGAGTCGATTATGCAAACAGTGATTACATAAACTTGAATCAATGGGACTACCTTATTACTCCAATATTATTTAATGTTGTTAGTAACATTATTCCCATTTTAACTTGTCCATGTTAATAAATTGCATTTCATACTTTCTCAATTATAAAAATTTGATTTTTCTCTAATGATTCCGTAAATTAGTTTAAATAAATATCTAAATTATATTTTATAGAATTATTGTATAAATATTCTGCTTTTTAAAAATACCATCATGTTTTATTCCTGTCTAAAGCAAGACAATTCTCGATTTATTAATAAAATGTCTCCATTAAATCATATAATTTGTATTTTTAAACTTAAATTTTTAATAATTTAGTTTCTAAATAGCTAAAATACTGTAAAGGGTTAATGTCAAATTAATGATCTTGCTTATAGTACAACACAGTGCTTCCTTTTATTAGGCTTGACCTGAGGACATGGGACGGCACGTACGGCTTCATTGAACACATCCTTAAGGCCTTCCCCTGTGAGGGTCGAGCACTCCAAGTACTTAACGGCGCCGATATCCTTAGTCATGGCCAGGACCTGGGGGTAAGTAATGGGTGTCTGTTTACGTTCCTTAAGCTTGTATAGTGTTTCTGGATTGTCCCGGAGGTCCAGTTTAGTGCCCACCAGTATAATGAGTTTGTCGGGACAGTGGTGTCGCACTTCCGGATACCATTTGATCCGTACGTTTTCAAAGGACGACGGGTTGTCCACCGAATAGCATATGAGAAAAACGTCGGTTTGCCGGTATAATAGGGGCCGCAGTCGGTCGTAGTCCTCCTGACCAATCGTATCCCAGAGGTCTAGATTAACGGACTCTCCGTCGACTATCACATTAGCGGAATAATAGTCAGAAATATAGGCCGTCCAACCGTTATAGAGGTCGTCGAGGAGTTTGTCCGTCGTATAACACTTTAATAGACTTGTTTTACCCACACCTCTGAAAAAGGTGAAAGTGTGCAAATCAAAGTAGGGTATACTTTACATTCAAATATATCATAATAAATATGTAATAAATATAAAAATTTATGAATATATACCCGTCACCAACTACTACACACTTAATTGCTTGCATATCAATAACTTATTAATGTTTCAACGGTATGTGATATAAAAAAGTTACAATAAGTTAGTCAAAAATCACTATACTTATAATATTTATAATACTCGCACATCATTAATAATTACAATATTTAAAAGTCTATTTATCTGACTCTAAAACACAACAGAAATAATTTCATTTGAATTGATATTCAATGAGATAATGACTACTAAACAATTCGTAGTCCTGAAATGTGCTAGCGCATTATAAAAATGTATTTGTTTTGCCAAAAAGTGTGACAAAATACTACGCTCGCAATACAATTGAATGAGAATCTCCAGGAAATCCCTTTTATGACTAATTCTTGTATTTTAGTCATTAAACCGGTTCCCGACGACTACACACTTAATGCAATGCTTTTCAATGAATTATTAGTTTTATTGTACGTATTATATGAACGAGTCGATTATGCAAACAGTGATTATATAAACTTGAATCAATAGGACTATAGTATAGTCACTATACTGTACGTTATTACTCCAATAATATTATATAATGTAGCTAGACATTATTCTCATATTGTCAATTAAAACCGTGTTAATAAATTATAGAAATACTTTCTCTAATATAAAAATTTGATTTTTCTCTAATGATTCCGTAAATTAGTTTAAATAAATATCTAAATTATATTTTATAGAACTATTGTATAAATATTCTTCTTTTTAAAAATACCATGATGTTTTATTCCTGTCTAAAGCAAGATAATTCTCTATTTATTAATAAAATGTCTCCATTAAATCATATATAATGTGTATTTTTAAACTTAAATTTTTAATAATTTAGTATGTAAATAGCTAAAATAAAGGGTTACTGATTCACTTTAATGGGTTAAATGTCAAATTAATGATCTTGCTTATAGTACAACACAGAGCTTTCTTTTATTAGGCTTGACCTGAGGACACGAGACGGCACGTACGGCTTCATTGAACACATCCTTAAGGCCTTCCCCTGTGAGGGCCGAGCACTCCAAGTACTTAACGGCGCCGATATCCTTAGCCATGGCCAGGCCCTGGGGGTAAGTAATGGGTGTC